GAAAGTTTGAAAAACACAGTTTTGAGAAAAACGCGTTTAAAGTTTCAAGTCCGTTAAAAACTATTAAAATATCAACTTACTCTCAATCGGCGATGCCTGGTCCATAGAGTATTCCTTCCTCTTCCTCGTGAAACTCTTTTAAAGCAGATTGTTCAGCTCTTGAGTCAATCCTGGCTTGTTTAACGACATCACTTACGCGCCGCTCAGAGCGTAAGATTCGCTTTTCATCCCGTTTCTCAACATACGCTTGGGCTTCACGACCAACAGGGCATCCCATAATCGACATAACTTTTAAAATACCTTGAAAACCTTCATTAAAGATAATAACTGCTAAGTAGCTAGCAATTTCAACAACTTTGGGACCAGAATGAAGATGTTTAGGAGCGAAAGTCCAAATCAAAGAATTCAAAGATTCGTTATTGTTTTGTGTCTCTGCTCCTAAACAACGAATTAATAATTCGTCTTTCGATAAATCTTCGAAAACCGGTTTGATAGCTTCTTGGACTTGCGGAATTAGAGGTGGTTTATCGTGATGAAATTGGTCCAGTTCATTATTAGCTTCAGCCTTACGCCATTTTTGGTGGGTAAAACGGTTTCCACTAAACTTTCTTTTTTTACTACGACCAGGATGAACATTTCCACTCGTACTTCCTTTCCGTCCACTCATTATGAAAAAAAATAATTTGTAGCTGTTGCTCTCTTCGAAGTTCAACCAAGACTAAAATAACTTCGGTAAAATATTATAACAATAGAAATTTCTGTTTAAGTCTGTAGAAACGTGTCTAAACTTGTATAAACAAATATATTAATAAAAGGGAGGCCAGGTATAAAGCCGACGGTACACAATAGGCCCGGTCTCTAACTGCCAACTCACCGCTCCGAACCGCTCTTTCTTTTACCTGCTGTATCTTTAAAACGACTTCGAATTTTCTAAAATCGCTTTACTACCGTATTCTAGACATGTTAAGGGAGCAATTTATGAAAAAAAAAAAATCTATTTTTTCAACCCATCACATAGGAAGACCCCCTTAAAAACGTATTTTTATGTGCTTTTAACACTAGAGCTGTGACACATGTCACGACTCACAATTGACATCTAACATTTCGTTCAGTAATAAATCGTTGAGTACCCATAATGAGTATTTTGTTTTACGCATCACAGTACATGTTGAAAATAAAGTATTTTTGCATAGTTTATGTTAAAGTATAATATATAATAACCAAATATAAAGTCGGATACGTTATTATTAAATATCGTGGTATGGACATGTAATGTGTAGGAATGAAGATCATATCCTAAGAACGGTGTTACATATGAATGTGGATATAAGGGTAGAGGAAGACCGAAAAGTAGCTATGACGTGGTCTAGTGCTTTGAGTAGTCATGCTCACTAAAATGTCCAGACTTGTGGCGGCGTGGTGGGCCGGCTCATTGGGCTCCCTAAAATATGGTCGAGCGCAGTGATGGCTGGCTCATCCGTCATACTCGTGAACGGGTGCTGCTTGTAGGGACTGATCTGCTCTAATCACTATGACTGATTTCCTCTTATTAATTGTTTAACCAGTTGGTTATATATTCAATATTTTTTCTATTTGAGTATTTAATTGAATTAGTGCTAATTGGTAGTTTGTATTCAAACACTTAAACTTAAAAATGTAAAGTAATAATAAAATTATTTAAAAGAGCAACACGCAAGTTTCTTGCTCGTTCTTCTTGTGATGAGACAACTTTCCGAACGAGCGGTTTATTAAAAAAATGTAATGACTATTCAAAAGTGCTTCAATGTAAGTTTATATGAATAATTGATTTTCTGTTGTTTTTTATTCTATTCTACTCTAAAAAGAGATGGATGGACTGTGTGAAAGATGATATGGTGAGAAAGGGAGTAAATAACGAGATGACTGCGAACAGAGATGAATGGAAGAGAAAAACATATTACGCCGACCACAAATAAATGGGATAAGGAAATTATTATTAAATATAGTTGGCAACCCTATCTCCAACAGACCTAAAAACTGCAGTTCACACACGAATATCGGTCATGGCAACACCGTCTAACATATCGTGAGACACAATTTGCTATTATTTCATTGGAAATAATTGTTTTTTTTCTGTGACAAAAGTGACTCGTAATTGTTAGTTGAATTCATTTGAACAGACACTTGGCTGTCTGCCAGATGATACGAAGTTTGTATGAACTAACAAAAGATGTTGTGACAAGTATTGCTTTTGTTTGTGAGCTAAAATGAGTAATTTATTTTAATTGGCAAGACAAAGAATGAATGGAGTAGAATTTTTTGGTTCAAATAAACTTGCTTGTAAAAATTTTTCAATAAATATTGACCGCTCATTCAGAAATCTGTCTCTACTAGGCACATTGATTTTAGAAGAAAAAGTCTAATCAACACATTTCGGTATAGGTTCAATTATAATTAGTGTTTAGTATTTTAACAGCTTTAATTTTGTATATGTTTTTTGCTACTATAGTTCTATTGTTTACTCGTCTGTATATTGTTTTATATTATGTATGTTATTTAAATGTAGAGTGTCTTAAATGTAATGGATTAAGGGACCGTATTAAGCACATTGATTTAATAATAATATAATAATCTCAGGACAATTCACACAGCGCCATCTAGACCAAAGTTAAGCTAGCTAGAGCTTGTGTTATGGGTACTAGATAACTGATACATATACATAGATATTTTTTTTTTGTAAATACATACATATTATACATAGAAAACACCCAGACCGATACAAACAATCATACTCATGTATACAAATGTTTGTGCCGTGCGAGGAATCGAACCCGCGACCATCGGTCGTAAAGCGGTGTGCTTGACCGCTAAACCACCGAGGTCGTCATAATTAATTTAAGAAGAAAAGGTATAATTCATCACATTTAAAATAAGTCATGTTGCTAAGTAACAGTTTATATGTAACGTGCAACTGATCGGAATGAGAACAAATTATATTTGCTGCTGTATATCTGTAATCCACTGAAGATCTCCATCAGTCTTATCACAAGAAGAATGAGGAAGACACTCGCGTGTAGCTCTTTTATTGTTACTTTACAATTTAAGTTTAAGTGTGTGAATACAAACTGCCAATTAGCACTAATTCAATTAAATACTCAAATAGAGAAAATATTAAATATACAACCAACTGGTTAAGCAACTAAATTAGAGTAAATCAGTCGTAGTGATTAGAGCAGACCAGTCCCTACAAGCAGCACTCGTTCGCGAGTATGACGGATGAGCCAGCCATCACTGCGCTCGACCATATCTTAGGTCGACTCAACTGTTCTTTTAAATAATTTAGTTGTTGTTGAAACGTTCAAATACAAACTTCCAAGTAGCAGTAATTCATTAAAAAATGAAATAATAAATACAAACTGGTCGAATAACTAAATAAATGTAATAGAAAATATGAATTATATCTATAAACTAGCTATTCCTGCGACTTCATCCGCGTGGGATTTAACTTTATTTTTCTAAACTAAAAGTAGGCTAAGTTACTCCTTATTACAAAAACCTGCCAAAAAAAGACCCGTCAAAATCGGTACAGCCGTTTCAGGGATTAGCCGGAACACACAGACAGACAGACAAAAATTGTATAAAATGTTATTTTGGTATATGTACCGTATTTATATTCATATGCCTGTAGTAAACCACGGTTATTTCAATGTTACAAACAGACACTTAAATTTTATTTATATGTATAGAATATGTTACATGCATATGAATATGCAATACACGGACCGGAAGACGCAGCGTGGGAAGGCCTCCAGCAAGGTGGACCGACGATCTGGTCAAGATCGCGGGAAGGCATTGGATGCGAGCAGCGCAGGACCGATCGTCGTGGAGATCTTTGGGGGAGGCCTATGTCCAGCAGTGGACGTCTTCCGGGCTGCGATGATGATGATGATGATGATATGAATATGCAAAGAAAGTTGCATGGTGGTAAACATACATAGGGGAAATACGAGGCTCAGACTCCTGGTTTGGTTTACGACAGTACATAAATTTTAATGTATCATTAATACATAGGGATCGGTTGAGTACCGGTCTCTATCAAACGTCCTTTTTGAAAACCATGAGTTTATTATTAACTTGCGGACCGTCCCGACCTCTGGTTAAAGAATATATATAATATATACAGCCCACGTCAATCTGAACTAAGGTACCCTTAAGATGGTGAGAGTTTTTTCAAATTAAGCCAATACTTCCTGAAAATAACCGACACAGACAAATACACAAAATTCGAGCCCTTTTTTTAATATTGAATTAAAATATTAATATACAAGTAATTTTAAGATGTGTATATAAGTTATTAAAATATACATACATAGTGATGACCCGCGATTTTGTCTAGTTTTTTTGAGATAAAAATCGGTGTAAGATCTATAACTTCACTAGTTAATAGAAAATCATAACTGATCATATTATCACTCAATAGCCACAGGAATTCATATTTGGAATCTATTTTTTTTTTACTACCATAATATTTTTTTTTATACACCGTATTGCACCGTGTTTACTTATAGAAAAGATAAATATTCATTTAAAGATATTTAACTAGACTTCTAGCCAGTCTTTACGCAATTTCTTCCAGACAACCTTTAGGTAGAAGATAAAGATAATCTAAATATATATAACTCAAAGGTGACTAACATAGTGATCTATCAACGCACAGCCCAAACCAGCGGACGGATCGGGCTGAAATTTGGCATGCAGGTAGTTGTTATGACGTAGGAATTCGCTAAGAAAGGATTTTGATTAATTTGACAAACTTTCATCCAGGGATGAATGTTTGTAAATTTCAAACCGATCGGGCTGAGACTTTACAAGCATAAAGCTACTATGACGTAGGCATCCCCTAAGAAATGATTTTGATGAATTCCACACTTAAGAGGATAAATTAACGCCAGCGAAGCGGCGGGCAAAAGCTAGTAATTTATAAACCTTAATATTTATCGAGCTCTGTCTATTTATTACAGGATCCGACGCGCGTGGTGTGTCCAGTCATCGATGTGATCAGTATGGACACCTTCCAGTACATCGGAGCGTCGGCAGACCTGCGCGGCGGGTTTGACTGGAACCTAGTTTTCAAGGTAAGTTAACTAGTCAATACTCCAATAAACTATTGAGTAAAAACAATATATGTCTCAAGACTAGGACCCTTAATGGATACTGCAAATTAGATAAACACATGGCCAATATACGTCTCTGTTTAAAAAAATGCAGATTTTGCCATGTAATGCAAACACGAATTCATGGGTGGCGGTAATCACTTACCATCAGGTGAAAAACCAGCTTGAGGCAAGCTTGTTTTTCCCCTATGGTATAGTAAACACTAAGCGTTGCCCGCAATTTTGAATGCGTGTCATTATGAAGTTTTACTTATGGAGATGGACACGTTCAAACATACCCAGCGAAATATGCTTGTCAAGTGTTCACCTCAACATCAACAGTTGACAATGTCTCAGACTGCCTATGACAAAGGGTAAGAGTCATTCACAAACAATAGAGTCACAAACATAAGAGTCGTTCCCACGCTGCGGTCTTCCGGTCCGCGGTTCCCACTCGAGAACTTTTCTGCCCCAACGGCCATCTGTCTTACGAGCTATGTGTCCTGCCCATTGTCGGGCTATGGCGGTCACTCTGATTCTTCTGCGGATCTCCTCAATCTCTCGCGAAACTCCGAGCATAGCCATTGCCCTCTGAGTTAGCGACCACGTCTCTGTGCCGTAATTCATCACTGACAACAGACATTGGTCCAAGATACACCTACGTATTCTTATAATCTCAGTAGGTACATACAGTTTACCTCAATGCAATACAGTTCACAAGTTCGATGAACCATATAAGCTGCAACTCTGTGGCTACCATCGTTATGACGTAATCTTTATGTAGTTTATGCCTTCAAACGGCAAAAGCAACCTAACATTTCGATGTGTGACAAATATACATAATATTGAATATATTGCTTCGGAATTCTTGTCACTCCTTATATTTTTTATTAATTCCTGTCTACTTTGACAGTTGATTTTCATAAGCGACTAAAGTGACCTACATCAATAATTCACATTTTTTTTGCGCTTATTATTAAAGTGCTATTGGAGACATAGACTTCTAGTCTCTCTTGAAAGACTAGAAGTCTCTGACTCTCCTATTACGCACTAAACGATTACTTGAATGACGAGCGTGCATGGCAATAGTTGTTCATGCACTGGATTTTCATTTAATGTTAGACATAGACACCTATATAAATGTACATTGTAAATAAAAATCTCTTAAAAAAAAGTAATTCAATTGAGTTCTCAATTGGATCTATATACCAAACTGGGCGGTATGGAAAAAATTAAAATTATAATGTAAAAAATTTGACGTTCATAAGCGACTAACATGTCTTACATGAATGAATTATTTTTGAATTTAAATTTCAATTAAAGGTTGAAAAGCAATGAATAATCCTTATAAATGATAGCGCATGAGGGGTAAAATGGACGTAAAGATATCATTTATGATATCCATGTCTACAGGTGATATTTACAACTTTATTGTAGTTTCATAATCCATGAAATTACATCAATCAATTTATAGTACCAAAATAATCTAAATATATGTAACTAAAAGGTGACTGACTGACATAGTGATCTATCAACGCACAGCCCAAACCACTGGACAGATCGGGCTGAAACTTAACATGCAGGTAGATGTTACAACGTAAGCATCCGCTAAGAAAGGATTTTGATTAATTCTACCCCCAAGGGGATAAAATAGGGGATGAAAGTTTGTATGAAACTTTGTTAATTTTAAACCGGTCAGGCTGAGACTTTGCATGCATAAAGCTACTATGACGTAGGCATCCTCTAAGAAAGGATTTTGATAAATTTCACCCCTAAGGGGATAAAATAGGGGATGAAAGTTTGTATAAATCTTCTTAGATTTTCGACTGATTGAACTGAAATTAAAGATTGGAGCTACTATGATGTAGACGTTCGCTTAAATAGGATTTTGATAAATTCAACCCCCATGGGGATAAAATAAGGGATGATGCAGGATGTAAATCTATTAGTTTGAACCTATCAGTACCTAATGGAACGAATAAATTAAGACGAACAAAATAATTTTAAGTTCTTTAGGCTACTTTTATTTTAGAAAAATAAAGTTAAATTCCACGCGGACGTAATCGCGGGAACAACTAGTTTTATATTGTGTACGCCTTCGCATGGTATTTAATAGTTTTCAAATATCACCGAGGTGCACTAAAATGGTGAACGGACTGGTGTTGAGTGGTACAGTATACCGTCACTGGATTACCTTGACGGTTGGTACCGTTTATACTGACTGCAATGGTCATATTATACCCACTCTGTATGTCTGTTATACCGTTAAATATTTGACGTTATTATGCTCATTTACAATACATTTCTTGGATGAAATCAAATCGAAAATCATTTATTTATGTAGGACATTTTAGCCGCTTAGGAATGTCAATAATTTTTTTCCTACCGTCCAGTTCTGTATACAGATGCAATTGAGAAAACTGGCAAGAAACAGTTTTTTTTTAAAGTCAGAATATTTGCTTTTTCTATTTATATAAGTGTCTGTGTATAACATTAGTGAACAGCAACTCTGACAATATATAATATTAACTTAAGTTGACTCACATATTATAAGATATGTATATATTCAATTTATTAATACATATATATATAACTATCCTTTGTTAATTTATGATTTCTAATCTGGATGGAAAGGGATGTATGAAAGATGATATGTAAAACAAGTCAGTAACCTTAGATACAAACAACAATACACCACCCCAAAGAGATTCTATTCTTATAATTTTTCATAATTCTTCGCATCATTTGATTTAATCTGATCATTTTCTAATGATGCGAAGAATTATGAATAATTACTAGAATAGAATAGAACAGAAAATCATTTATTCAAATAAACTTGAAGACAAAACATTGAAGCACTTTTGAATAGGCATCACATTTTTTTTAATCTACCGCTCATTCGGAAAGCTGTCTCTTCACAAGAAGAACGAGCAAGAAACTTCCGTGTTGCTATTTTAAATAATTTTATTGTTACTTTACATTTTTAGTTGAATTTTTTTTTTCGGACTTCTCTAATGCTGTTGACCGCAGCTGGCCTTTACAGCTTCACCGGACGATACGCGAGTGCAGATGGCACTCCAAACCAAAGGAAGGACTTATGGAGGTCGCTCCATAAGTCCTTCCTTTGGTTTGGATTAAAGGCCAACTCTCGCCTGACGGATACGACTTTAGTCGGCACCTCTAGGGGTTCGAACCTCGGCTCAGGCCGTCCTAATATCGATCCCCGTTGGTATTGCACGGGGGATCGATCGGAGGGGCAGTTGAATTGTGTGAATACGAACTAATTACAAATTAATTAGAGATAATATAATGCTGATGATATAATTTCTATTTTAAACTTAATAGTAATTCAATATGCATAATATAAAAATCATCATGATTTGGCATCAATGACCTTACGTACGTTCTCTTTTTGTCGTGACATCAAAAACATATTTAGCATTGATTTGGAAATGAAATTGAAATGTGAACCGAACGACTGTATGATTTGTTTATGTATATACATAATACGACCATTCGTCAATTCATCATGCAATGATTTGGCAATAACACTAGCGTCTCAATGATCCATGCTATTACGATTTATTCGAAAGGCTATACTTGAGACATTAAGCAGATCACTTGATGTAATATTTAGTACCTCAATAATAAATATTATTCCCCTTCCTGGACTCTAAAGATATGTCAGATCTACCGTCACTGGGGGGAGGGGCATTGTTAGTAACGTGGACTAATAACCCCCATAAATATCCTCACCGTTGCTTCTCAATACATTCATGAAAATATCATCTATGCCAGAAGGAATATAGACAGTTTCAAAAGAGTTAGTGATTGCACTAATAAAAGCTTACGTAACAATAACAAACTGATTTTACCTAAATGTCGTTTGGCTAAAGTTAGTAATTCGTTTTATGGCAATTGCGTAAGGTTTTACAATAAAATACCAGAGTCTGTAAGAAATCTGCCAGAAAAAAGATTTAAATGTCAAATAAAACAGTTCCTTTGCAAAAAAGCTTACTATAAAATTGAAGAATTCGTTAATGATAATAATTTTTATAGAAAAACTTTAAATATATAGCACTGACAATATTATCTGATTACATTAATAATGAGTGCGTAGCGATTTCTATGTTGATTATCGCATGCCTCTTACTTGTTATACTGTAATTATTTATATAAAAAAAACATCTATTATAAAGAGCAACACACAAGTTTCTTGCTCATTCTTCTTGATAAATCTGCACTCCGAATGAGTGGTAGAGTCAAAATATGACTATTCCACCATCGGAATTCGGACCATCGGAAGTAAGACTTGTGTGCTAAAGCACTAGACCACCGAGGTCGTCAAAGATAAGATAAATATAAAGATATTTTTAATTGAATTTAATTGATAGGTCTGGTACTAATAACCTCAAACATTCCAGTGGGAGTATCTATCCCATGCTGAACGCAGCGCCCGCCTCAGCGACCCCACGCAAGTGATCCGGACCCCAATGATAGCTGGTGGCCTGTTCAGCATGGATCGCCAGTACTTCAACAAGCTGGGCAAGTACGACATGAGGATGGACGTCTGGGGCGGAGAGAACCTGGAGATATCCTTTAGGTAATCTTTAATTTATTTATTTATAATTGCACATGCATATACATTATTTATATGCATATGCATTACATACTGGTCAAGATCGCTGGAAGGCATTGGATGCGAGCAGCGCAGGACCGATCGTCGTGGAGATCTTTGGGGGAGGCCTATATCCAGCAGTGGACGTCTGCCGGCTGCGATGATGATGATACATAAATTTACATATAATAAATCAATACACATGGACTCTGTTTAAAGAGTATGAAAATTTAGTAGACGACTCATTCCCAAAATTAAATTTAAAAATTATGTCTATTGAAGTGTCTACTTAGTAGATAGATATATCGTTTATTTGTTTGTTACTAATCACACACAACATGTTCATAAGAATATACAATACATAATACGACATAAGATTTATTATAATATTTAAGCTCAGCGTGGAACATTGTTCAGGGAACAAAATACTGATTTTCATCTTCAACCCATTTGAGGGTACGTGAAAATAATAATTAAAATAAATATATAATAAAAAGAGCAATATTATTGGTCTGTGCGGTGTGTGTATAATAAAAATAATGTAAATAGTTCAAAGTATAATTTGATATAATTTTAATTGAGTGGTAAGGATTAAACTAAAAAAATATGAAAGTATTAATAAGAGAAAAATATTAAAAATTATTATATGAGATTGCAACCGCTAGCCAAGAAATTTCTGTGGAATGCCTAAAATTTGTTTTTTAGTAAGTATGCTTTGTGATGTTTTTTAAAACTCTGTACGGTAGTTAAAAATTCTTTTACTGTATAGTAACTTTTTTTTTTAATAATTCTATGAAATTTATTTTAATATTCACTATTCACTTTTAAAATTGATATAGATCTCTTTAAAACTAAATGTTAGTCCATCCGAATAACCTTTTCTGTTTGTGCTATACCATTCAGATCGTGACATTTAGGGTTATATCATTATCGTTGATTTGTCGTTTAGCACAGCACCCCGCTTTGTGATAGGCGCGGGTTTGATTCCCGCGCAATACAAACATTTCTATTGATTACTATGTTTGATTGCATTAGTCTACCTTTTTTCTACGTATGTGTTGCAAAAACATATATTCAAACATATGTATCAGTTATATATTGAGACGGGACGGCCTCTGTGCTCTTGTGGTTTAGCACACCGCTTTTAATCCGATAGGCGCGGGTTCGATTCCTCGCACGGTACAAACATTTGTATTCAGGAGTATGATTGTTTGTATCTCTATCTGAGTGTTTTCTATATATATTATAAAGCGTATTTACAAAATAAATGTATCTAAATATAAATATATGTTAGTTGTTTATTACTCATAATACAAGATCTTCTTAACTTGCCACTTTATTATAATAATTCAAATTCAAATTCAAAATATCTCTATTCATATAGGTATATTACAGACTCTTGTGATACGTCAAATCTACCGTCAGTTCGGAATGATTTCGAGATGAGAAGAACTGACAAGAAACTCAGCTCGTATTTTTTTTAATAAATGTTGTACATGTTTACAATAATACAGATTCATTTAAATTCAAATTTGGGAGAATAGAGTGATTTCACTCTATGTATGACGGATGAACCAGCCATCATTGCACTCAACCATATTAGAGGGAGCACATCGAGTTTGAACTTTATAGCGAGCATGACTGTTTCAAGTTACTCCACTACGTCATTTATATTTTTAAATTGTACTTCTAAATATTACAGGGTTTGGCAGTGTGGTGGATCTCTCGAGATAGTGCCATGTTCCCGGGTAGGGCACGTGTTTAGGAAGCGTCACCCGTACACCTTCCCCGGGGGCTCGGGGGCGGTGTTCGCGAGGAACACCAGGAGAGCAGCCGAGGTGTGGATGGATGATTACAAAGAATTGTACTACAAGTCACAGCCGTTAGCGAAGCAAGTTGAATATGGAGAGTAAGTATTCACTGTGGATGTAAACTCGCTGGTTTAGCGATTTAACACACCGTCTTACTTCCGATGGTCGCGGGTTCGATTCCACGCACTGTACAAACATTTGTATTCATGAGTATGACTGTTTGTATCGGTCTGGGTGTTTTCTATATATGATATGTATGTATTTACGAAAAAATATATCTATGTATTTGTATCAGTTATCTAATAGCCATAACATAAGTTTTAGCTAGCTTAACTTAGGTTTAGATGGCGCTGTGTGAACTGTCCTGAGATTATTATTATTACTGCTGCTTTCAGACACTTTCTTTCTTTTCTTTGCGATTATCGCGGGAAAATCAGGGCGCGCAATGGTTGTAATTGGATTTTACTATTTAATGTGTAGATTCTTTCGCGCGAATTTTAATTTTTTATTCCACAGATATTATTTCCTAAAATAACGTTTAAAATTTTAAATTGTCAGTGACTAGTTACCCACCCCGGCTTCGCGTGTACATGTATCATACATATAAACCTTCCTCTTGAATCACTCTATCTATTAAAAAACTGATTCAAAATTCGTTGCGTAGTTTTAAAGATTTAAGCATACATAAGGACCGACAGACAGCGACTTTGTTTTATACTATGCAATGATAATTATGTCTTTCTTCTATAGTCAGATGTCTGCCTTTTGCAATGATATTTAATTATTAGAAAAAGGCGCTAAATCACGCATAATTTAACAAGACTTGTGCATTCTTTGTCTTTGTCTACATTTACATACACATTATTTCCTGCGTGAAAGAACATTCGTGTAAAACTGTTAGTCCACACAGCGCCATCTAGTCTCAAGTTAAGCTAGCTAAAGCTTGTGTTATGGGCACTAGACAACAGATACTAATACATAGATAATTTTTTTTTGTAAATACATACATATTATACATAGAAAACACCCAGACCGATACAAACAGTCATACTCATGAATACAAATGTTTGTACCGTGCGAGGAATCGAACCCACGACCATCGGTCGTAAAGAGGTGTGTTAGACCGTTAGACCACCGAGGTCGTTAGTGGGTTGTAGAATAAAATAATATTATTTAAGTGTTCTTATGTTGTTGTGGTGGGGTTCTTTTGTGTTGAAATGGTGTGTTAAATAATAAATAATATGTACTTTTGTAGCAGAAGAATTCTATTGTCTTCTTATATTTTCTTTTACAATTATGTCAATCGGTATTTGAAAATAACTACTATTATAAAGTCGTAATCGATGAGGAGGCTGTATATACTCGTACCATATGTATTATTAAGTTTCTTTAAACCAAGATTAATTGTATCTTTATTTTTATGGTGATAAGTTTCTAAAAGTCAAAGTATGCATCCATATAATAACATTATTACAGATTAATTATCCACAGTAATAGAAACAATATCTAAAAATCCAATGTTAGTAGAAGCAACATATAAAAGGAAGTAATAGAAATAATCTTTATTCAAATAAACTCATTACAAGCACTTTTGAATAGTCATATTTTGATTCTACCACTCATTCGGAATGCAGATTCATCTCAAGAAGAATGAGCAAGAAACTTGTGTGTTGCTCTTTTGAATAGGTGTTTTTTTTATAAAATTATTACAGTATAACAAGTAAAATAGCTACGCACTCATTATTAATGTAATCAGATAATATTGTCAGTGCTATGGATTTAAAGTTTTTCTATAAAAACATTATTGTCGTTAACGAATTCTTTAATTTTATAGTAAGCTTTTTTGCAAAGGAACTGTGATATTTGACATTTAAATCTTTTTTCTGGTAGATTTATAACAGACTTTGGTATTTTATTGTAAAACCTTACGCAAGTGCCATAAAACGAAACAAATGGATACTACCTTACCCCGGGACCCACTCGCCCTTCTGACGCTTTTATTTCTCTGTATATCTCTATCGCTTCAACGAACTTTAGCACATGCAATACCACGATAGAGGGGAAAGGGGATTGTTAGTAATGTGGACTTATGATCATATTGCTAGCATATTATATAGCTACCATGTCAGGTTGACCTCCACGCGGTTCCCCCTGGAAACCATCGTGATAAATTATTGGTGAATGTGTCACGATGGGCCAACAGACCTAAACTCATACTCATCTTATCATCCTTCTCTGGTGCCCCGCCAGCGTAAACCGTTAGCGCAGGCGCGTGCACCATTACATTTCATTCATTCGCAATTTATGTAAGAGCTGTGCTCTTGTCGGTGGAGCTCCCGCCACCTTCCACGATCTTCTATCAGTCCTTTTAGCTGTTGATACGCCACGACTCCAACTGTTTCTTTAACTTGCTTGATATAGCTGTGTCTCGGTCTTCTCCTTCCTCTCTTTCCATCTATTTTTCCTTCAATAATGTTATTAATTAGTTCGTCGTGTCGTATCAAGTGCCCCAACATGTTTCCCGCCGATTCTCATCCATAATAAACAAATACTGCGACAAAAAAGTATTTATTTTCTTCTATAGTTTTTTTTTTATTTATTTAGGACTAACAAACAGTAATACAATTATATATATATACAATGAGTGATGAGATGAAAGATAAATGTATCACCAACGACGTTAATCACAGTTTACTTAAGACAATCTTATATATAAAATTCTCGTGTCACAGTTTTGGAACCATCCCAGTATGGGAACGAAAACTGTAAAACGGCTTGACCGATTCTCATGAAATTTTGTGAACGTATTGAGTAGGTCTGAGAATCGGCCAACATCTATTTTTGATCCCCCTAATGTTAGGGGTAGTCCATCACAATTTTTTTTTTTATTTTTAAGACAAAATTTATTGTTTCTATTTTTGTATGATACAACATACAATCCTAAATTTTTTTATAGCGTTATTAATTTATATGGCAAAACAGCGTTTGCCGGAACAGCTAGTAATTATATAATCATTCAAATTTGTTTAGTGTAGTGGTGAATTTTATACAAAGTTACAAATATCGATTTAAAATGCAACCTATTTATTAATATAAAGAAATATAATGATCACTATATAAGTTCATTTAAATGTTGACAACCATATAGTCGGTTAAATATGGTCCCTAAACTCAATCTTTCTGTTACCTCAGTATATCAGAACGTGTTACCCTCCGGGAGAAACTGCACTGTAAACCGTTCCGCTGGTACTTGGAGCATGTGTACCCCGAGCTGCAGGTCCCCGCCGTGCCAGGTGGAGAGCTGCACGTCATCAGGCAGGGGACGCGTTGCATGGACACCATGGGACACCTCATTGATGGAACTATTGGTAAATTTATTATATCTATCTTCTTAAATATATATAACTCAAAGGTGATTGACGTAGTGATCTATCAACGCACAGCCCAAACCACTGGACGGATCGGGCTGAAATTTGGCATGCAGGTAGATGTTATGACGTAGGCATCCTCTAAGAAAGGATTTTGATTAATTCTACCCACAAGGGGATAATATAGGGGATGAAAATTTGTCAATTTTAAACCGATCGGGCTCAGACTTCGCAGGCATAAAGCTACTATGACGTAGACATCTTTTAAGAAAGGATTTTGATAAATTCCATCCCTAAGGGGATAAAATAGGGGATGAAAGTTTGTATAAATCTTATAAGATTTTCGACTGATTGAACTGAAATTAAAGATTGGAGCTACTATGATGAAGACGAATGACGATGAAGATGTTCGCTTAAATAGGATTTTGATAAATTCAACCCCCATGGGGATAAAATAAGGGATGATGCAGGATGTAAATGTATTAATTTGAACCTGTCAGAATAAATTAAGACTAACAAAACAATCTTTAGTTCTTTCGGCTACTTTTATTTTAGAAAAATAAAGTTAAATTCCATGCGGACGAAGTCGCGGGAACAGCTAGTCCTATATAATAGTAAATAATTTGCTTTCATAATTGTCATTTTCGATGGGATGGAAAGAGATATAATCATCGTAGTGAATGACGCTAAAGTATTATACAAATGGGTTTTTTTTGTGGATGATAATGGAATGGTGCACCCGCTTGCGCTAACGGTTTACGCTGGCGGGGCACCAGCGGAGGATGATAAGATGAGCATGAGGTCAGGTCAGTTAGCCCATCGTGACAAATTCACCAGGAATTATCACGATGGTTTCCAGGGGGAAGCGCATGGAGGTCGACCTGACATGGTACATTGCTAGCAATGGGGTTATCAATCCACATTATTAACAGGGGACTGTTCCCCGCTATACAAATGGTTTTTTTTTTATGGATGATAATGGAATGGTACAGCCGCCTACGCTAACGATTTACGCTGGCGGGGCACCAGTGGAGGATGATAAGATGAACATGAGGTCAGATCAGTTAGCCCATCGTGAGAAATTCACCAGGAATTTATCAGGATGGTTTCCAGGGAGAACCGCGTGGAGGTCAACCTGACATTGGTACATTGCTAGTAACGGGGTCATGAGTCCACATTATTAACAATCCCCTTCCCCTCTTACCATCAGGTTAGCCGTATGCTCGCAATGCTAGCAATGGGGTTATCAATCCACATGTATGTTTCCCGCTATACAAATGGGTTTATTAATCCACATCACTAACAATGACCTCCGGTAAGGTATGTACCCGTGCCACAACGCGGGCGGCAACCAGGAGTGGCGGCTGGAGGACGGGCAGCTGCGGCACGGGGCGCTGTGCGCGGCGCTGCCGGCGCGCGGCCCGCGGCCCGTGCTGGCCGCGTGCGGGCCGCACGCCGACCAGCGCTGGCGGCGGCGCGGCGGCCTGCTGCAGCACGCGCGCGGCCCGTGCTTGAGCGCCGCCGCCACCGCGCTGCTGGCCGCCGCCTGCGACGAGGCCGACCCCACGCAGCAGTTCGTCGTCTGAGGACCGATCGCCGCCTAGCGATCGCTGATATCTCATTTCTAGCCTATCGTTGCGTCGTAGTCGCATTTATGAAGTTTCAACACAAATTATAACATTTGTCTTACTGTACGAATGTTATGTTATGAAATATTTAAATTTAATACATTACCTATAGCATTAAGTTTAATAATACATAACTGTACTTATATCCGAAAAACATCACAGTAACTTTATGCCAGAAACACAAAAAAAAAAAGAAAATATTGTCTCTGACACAGTAAAAAATGTTCTACTAATAAAATCTAAAAAAAATACACACGACAATGCTAGCTGCATTATATAAAAAAAAAAACAAAATAACAGTTTATAAAAACTGAAATGTTATGTAACTCACGTCAGGTATTAAAATATTTTATCACCAATTAGAAAGTTCTTTCAAATTAAGAAAGTAACTTAAAGTAAAGGAAAAGAAATTCAACGTTAATAATGCATTACACGTTAATCGCTTGTCCTTTTCATACGAACTGTTGTCCTAATGTGAGAAATAGTGACAAAACACTGTAATATTTGAAATATATGTAAGTTTTTAGGGATATTTAGAGGTGACGGTGGGCCCGAGTTGAATTTGTCGCCAGTAGTTGTGGTATAAACGTAACTACTGATAAGCAATTGAACTTAGTCATTGAAAGAAAGACTTGAAGATACTCGCTTTAAATTCGAATCAATACTTATTATATAATTGAATAGTATGAGGCACCAATATATGTGTGGTGTGACAAGGATGGACAAGATACAGGGGGCCGTTCAAGTATTAAGCACTATAAGGAAAGGTGGGGGGAGGGGGGGCTTGTCTTTACTCATTTTGGATCACATGGGGAGATTTTCAGTTTAAATAGTGATTACGATCCGCAGAACAAACAAAGTGGACAACTAACCATGGGCATGAACAAGCTCAGTGTCACTCAGAAGATAATGGAGGGGGCTATACTCGGAGTTTCTATGCGTGATCGAATCAGAAATGAGGAGATCCGCAGAAGAACCAGAGTGACCGACATAGCCCGAAGAATTGTAGAACTGAAGTGGCAATGGGCAGGGCACATAGCTCGTAGGACATATGGCCGTTGGGGCAGTAAAGTCCTCGAGTGGCGACCACGGACCGGAAGACGCAGCGTGGGAAGGCCTCCAGCAAGGTGGTCCGACGATCTGGTCAAGATCGCTGGAAGGCATTGGATGCAAGCAGGGCAGGACCGATCGTCGTGTCAACAGTGGACGCATTCCGAGATGATGATGATGATGAAAGATTACGTCATCGATAATTATTTACTTTTTTACACCACCCTCACATTGTCTTTAATAAAAAATAGAATACATTAATTGAAAAATGTTCACGTAAGCATGAGGGGATGGGGTTATAGCTTTACTTACTTTTGCTGACAAGAGGGATGGGGGAGTAAATAATTGTAATAAAATTGCTTACGTAATACTTGAACAGCCCCAAGAACGAATGCATTAGAGGAAGTATGAAAGTGGCGGTGATATGGTAAGAAAGGAAGTAAATAACGAGATGACTGCGAACAGAAATGAATGGAAGAGAAAAACATTACGCCGACCACAAATAAATGAGATAAGGAAGAAGCAGATGAAGATTGAGGCACCAATAAGTCGGAACACTTCCTGGAGTGGGTGCCAAACTATCTGTAAATATTGTTTTAATTTTTAAGACTAAGCATTACATTCCAGAATCGCTTATTTTATTTGTAATACTATATATATAGTAATGCATGAGAAGAAATATAATGAGGGCGTCAAAGTATATTATAATGACCGTGCTGTTCATACATATAGATAATGGGTACAACCAGTGGCGGCTTTAGGGGATGGCGAACAGGGCAATTGCCCAGGGCCTCGCGTAACACTAGAAGCAAATTTTAAACAACCGGTGAGTGGCATTTTGCCCTAGTGGCGAGTTTCAAAAACTTACTACTTACTTACTTAAGGACTAAATGTCCTTTAATCGCAAACGAAAAAATTACCAACACTAAAATTTACAATTAAAAAAAATGTGGAATAAGACATAGATCAGCGGAAAATTTCCGCATAATTATTCCCATCACATACTTTTCACTTCCCCTCCGATCGATCCCCCGTCCAATTCAAACGGGGATCGAAATTACGACGGCCTGAGCCGAGGTTCGAACCTCTAGTGGTGCCCTCAGACTAAAGTCGTATCCGTCAGGCAGGAGTTGGCCTCCAGCCGCTCCATAAGTCCTTCCGCGGGTTTGGAGTGCCATCTGCACTCGCCCCTAACGTCCGGTGAAGCTGTAAAGGCCAGCTACGGCCAACAGCATTAGAGTAGTCCGAAAAAAAAAAGAAAAAAACTTTTCACTTAAGACAAAGGGCCTCACAATGCCCGGAGCCTCGCAATTGGTAAGGCCGCCGCTGATTCCAATTTTCTATCCTATAGACAATCAGCATGTTTGCCATTCAAGTTAAATTAAAAAAATATTCCTAAATGATCATATGTACCTAGCAATTTGAATGCCGGATCTGTCTGCCTAATCTGTTCGGAGATTCTTATCTCTTTCCGTATAAACTTTACCAACCAACATCAGCCAGTGGACACTATTTATTTTAAACTAATATACCTTCCTATAGAATAATTCTATTAAAAAAAACCGCTTCAAAATCCGTCGCGCAGTTATCAAGATTTATGCATACATAGGGACGGACGGAAAAGAGCAAAGAATCACTCTTAATAACACGCGGCAATATTTCTCCGTTAAATCGGGGTCCGTGTATAAAGACAGCTATATATTACCCGATACCCGACTAATTTAACTAAATAATACCTAACTAATTGACTTTCCATTCCATCACGCGACAGATCAGCCCTACACATCGGATGTCATTATACATTTTAATATATTTCTATTATTTGATTTACAAATTCGAATCTTTTACTCTCGATCTGTTGTTATTTTTACCTAATTCTAAGTTAAATTATAATATATTATATACATAAAAAATGTGAATATGTCTTCAATATAAATATATTGTATGTAATAGTTACCAGTGTAATGTAGGTATATAAATATATGAATAAGTGCCGGGAATGTGGAATGTGATTATATTATAGGGTAGTAATGGTACATCACTTAAAAAGGGTTAATGTAAAGGGTCTACCAAGAGGAAAGCCGGGAAATATACTAATGAAACTGAACCATATTTACCAAGAAATAAATTGGAAATTAGAATACATTATTTTCATGTTTCCACTTTACTTGTTTGGGTAAGTTATTTAATTTCATGAACTTGAACAATAACATCAGAATATCGACTTGTTGGACTCTTTACAAATAACCTTTTATGTACAGTGTACACAATATAATAATTAGTTAGTACAATGCACGTGTGTGCGAGTATCTATTTCACTCGATAAGTTTTCATTAATCATTACAAAATTCATATATCGTTTTCATTATCTCATACTGTACATCACTATTCAAGTAATCAAATAATTTATGTACTTATGTCGTTACAAAATCACAAAAATCATGATTGAGCATGTCATTCTGCTTTTGTAACATCATCATGTTAATTGAGTGTGCTCTACCCATAGATGGATTACTATTGATTCAGTTTTCATAGATTGTGAAGCGCTCTCCATCGACAGTACTCATCCTCACAACTTAGAAGTTTAGACAATGCGGTTTCATAGGGTTGCCCTGTCATCCTCTCTCTGATTGATAACCTCTGATTTTCCATAGATACTACATCATTTGGGGATTTTCAAGAAGAGTACCTTTATTTACGTTTCACATAAGTCGCTAAAGCGTTTCAGGCTACGATAACCGTTTGTCGTATGCTTGTTTCCAGCACTCTAGTGTAAAAAAATATACACATAGGTTCACTATTGAAATATAATGAATATGCACACTCATTGTAACAACTCGAATTATTTGAACGCTATTGTGATATCGACAAGTTAAATATCTAAGACTTTAAATAAGTACAAGTACATCACATAGCTTCAGATTTATCAATATTAGTATAATGAATTGTTATAAATAATATATTAATAATAAGACAGACAACTATGTAAAATGGAGGCCTATCACGTTCGCTTATGAATTATAGTAACTCAATAATTATAGTGTAATATCCCTTACTAAATACTCGATCACGTAGGTTAGTTTTTGTACGGTAGTAGGCGCATTAATTTCAAAAAGTATTAATTATATGTAAATACTAATTATAATTACACAACAAAAATCGTTACTTGAATAATTAAATGATTCATTATTTCAAACTCATTAAAACTAGACAATATACCTAATATAATATCGACCATAAACGATAAACGAGTATAATGAGCTCAATATATAAATTTTAAGTTTTTAATTATATTAGTTTATTATATAATTCACAGTTTACTGGAGAATTGTAAGAAAATATAGCATTGAAGTATTAAGTCGCCAATTATCCGTAATTAATGAGTTGTTAGCTTATGAATTATTTAATGATATTTTTGATGAATAATAGTAAACGCTGTTCTCACAAGTTTCATTAAAAAAAATTACGACAAGACATGTTCCACATAGAAGTTAGAATTAAGCTATATGAATATATTGTTTTATGTATGGATACTTCAAATCGATATGTTTTGGGTGCTTTATTTAACAACAGTCCTGTCAAATATTAACTATTGATATAAGATATAAAGGAATTATTAAATAGCACTGTACATGTGCTATTTACTTTTGGTATTTTCATACCGTTATAAAATCGTCTGTCACCTTCTCAATTTTTGAGAACAAAGTATTAATTTAATAAAAAATATTAAATACTGGCCTATTTTATGTAGAATTAGAATAAGTAATTAAATTGTTTATATTTTTGTTTCTTACGTGACATTCCACTACAGTTTAATATCTTAAGTATATTGTAGTATTGAATATGCTGTATCTATATAACCTGATGAAATGTACTTAATACAATGTAGAATAAATAATATACAAATATATTTAGTGCGACACCTAAACAGATTATAAGGAATATTAAATCTAGATAGAAAGAGCACAGTATATTAAAAATAATAGAAATTACAATGTAAACTTTCCATTCGTTAGTTGTGTACTTACAAATTAATTGCTTATGATTTGTCGTTGTTTTTATATTATTTTAATTAATATGGCATTGTGACTGCCCTAGTCATATTTTGTTGAAATGTATTAATACTAATTTTGTTCAATAAACGCGTGATTTTATTTTAGTGAGAGCAACATTTGATAAATAAAAGACATTATAAGAATCATCTTTTTATTTTGTAGAAAAATATCACGTCCCCATAACCTAAAGAATAAAAATATGACATCAGAGTAAATTTAACATGAAATAAATTTATTCAGAATGATAATTCGGTTTCTTAAAATTATATAGTAAACTAAATATCACACACCGTATTATGTTCTAATTTATATTATATTTACTAAACTAAAACGTGTATATACACACGGGTAAATACAACGGCAATTTAAGAAGGTCTATACATTTTATATATGAAAATTCAAATATAAAATATATTAATCAGAGAGAGAGAGAGTGTATACAATATATACTTATTTCTGTAGTTAAATTACAAGCTTAATTTATAGCAGTGAAATTACAGGCGAAGGAAGATACAATGCAGTCCTCCAAGTACTATGTTAGACGTTTCCCGTTCTTTCACTATCATATCTCGCATACAAACCTAAACTTAAAGATTTGCATCGGTATAGACTCTCTTAAATTTACTTTTGTACTGCGTTTATATGTAGTAGCACTTAATGTCAGTCGATAACGAATTAGATTTTTGGAGGGAAATATGAGTAGAAATGTAGACTGACGTAGTTACGTCAACTAAATCGTTGACTTAATGAAAATTGATTAAATAACTGACAAACTTGTTTGAAATAGTTTAAGGGTCTATCCATCGAAAAAATATGTTTAAAACCAAAATAAAATATTATAAATATGAAAGTCTGTCTTTCATTCTATTCATTACATTTTCACGTAGAAACTACTGTACCAGATTCAAATTGATTTATGTAATAACCTAATTAAAAAAATAATTTACTTTGGCGAAGAATGTAGATACTTTATGTTACAAAAAAAAACTTGAAAGGGATCACAGAGAAAATCAAAATTAATCGTTTCTACATAATTATTTTCTAGTAGTTTCCAGTAAATACTAATAATACACAAACAAACCCGCAGAAATCACTTAGTTTCTAATAAATTCAACATTTCTATGAACTGTAGGAATACTCTTATTGCTCACAAACAGAAATTTAACCTTCATAAATTTAACAATCTTACATTACATTACCAATTCATAAAAATAATTTATATTACGCAATATTAGCGACAAGACCGATTTTTAAATAGTTTGGGTAAGTCTCTTAACCAATTATGTACTTTAATATGTATTACAATTAACATGCATACATATTAAAATACAGTCATAAAGGAACTTGAAATGCAATATACGAGTAATAATAAAGCTAAAATTATCAGATTCATCGTTAATCATCATTTAATTCATCACCTTTCACCATCTCTGACTTGACAAAAATCAGTCATTCAATCATTGGAGATTTTCTACTTAATCTTATTTATAACTTATTTTAATTAAAAATTATTCTTATATACTAGCGTACTTAATTATAATTAAAGTCAATATGTTTAAATTGATTTAACACCGTTGTTGTAAAATCTGCTTATTACAAAATGTGAATACAATAATGATAATTCACATTGTATTCATTAATCGTATAAGATATGATTATCATAATCATTACTAAACATTAGGAATCAATTTACATTTTCATTAATTTATCCACTATTTAAATAAAATCGTTTATAAGAATTAGAAGATGTTCTCTTCGCGTGGCATGTGGTTTAAGTAAAGTTTTAATCACTTTATAGGATTTGTTCTTTATCAGAATCATTAGGTGCACAGACTAGAGTCCAACCCAGAGTTTGCATAAGTTTAGTTATTGCAAGGATAAGTAATCAATTTGAAAATAAAATACAGCCTCTACTCTCTGATAAAGTAAATGTCTATAAGTGAAAGGATTTTTTTAAAATCTATGTATATGTTTTGACTTATCGCTTACACAGGTATGTTGAACATAGTCCTCTTTCTTCAATAAGAGACAACCGTGACAAATATGTATATTTTATGGAATTATATGCTATAAGGATTCGGATTTCATTACTTACTTCATCACATAGTATAAAACAAAGTCGGTGTCGCTGTCTGTCTGTTTGTACCTATGTATGCTTAAATCTTTAAAATTACGCAACGGATTTTGATGCTGTTTTAGCTATTCGCCCCGGCTTCGCACGGGTGTACATGTATTATATATATAAAACTTCCTCTTGAATCACACTATCTATTAAAAAAACCGCTTCAAAATCCGTTGCGTCATTTTAAAGATTTAAGCATAGATAGGGACAGACAGCGACAGCGACTTTGTTTTACACTATGTAATGATAATAATGGTAGTGATAATAATGGTAGTGATAATGATAATGATGATATGTAGTATAGTGATATCATTGGCGTGAGATGCTCATCTTGTTCTTGATGAAGTTGCCAATGAGCCTGATGCCTCTGAAGGCGTAGTTGGGCGAGAGCCTCTGCCGCAGCAGGTAGTACGCGGCGAAGTTCATGATCAACAGTATCACCACCAGGACACCGAAGTCGAACCAGAACGACACCCCCGCCATACCAATCAGTCTCACGAAATCGCTGAAATGCAATTTATATATATTACTAGGTATATACCGTGGAGTTGCTTGTGTTAATGATATAATCATAACAAAATCTTATGATTATAATCGCGAAAGTGTGTAAATATGAATGGATGTTGTTACTCTTTCACGCAAAAATATAAGAACGGATTGTGATGAAACTTTAAAATAATATAGCTTATACATCAGAATTTATTATAGCCATATAATAATAATAATAAGAATAATATAGCTTATATATCATTATAACACATAACCTATAATTTACAAAAGATTTTTTTTAAATTAGGCGAAATATAAATAAATGTCATGTAAATGTGAAACAGTATTATATAATACACAGGAAAATATTGAAATAAATATTAATAAATAAAAGATTATTACATAAGAAACTTGTAAATTAATTATAAAGCTTATTGAAGATACAATTTCGAAAGACATAATAACGATTAAAGATCAATCAAACTGTATAAGGAATAAATAATATTTTACTTCAGTAGTTAATGTTAATATTAAATAGTTGATTAACGAAAATATATTTAAGAATTCAAATAAGAATCATATAGAATTATATGGTTCTTATTAATTCTTATTAAAAATGTGATTAAGTAAAATATTCTCTGAAGCCAATATTTATCCTAAATTATTAATAGAAGAAAAGTTACAAATTTTCGTTGGGAAGTTTGATTTAGTCGACACGAGAGGTATTGACGATGGATCTACTACTACTAAAAATCCCCTCAGCCCGAATGGCATCTTCCAAGAAGCATGGTCAGTGTCAAGGTTCAATGGTGATAATGATGATGATGATGGTGATGATGATAATGATGTGGAGGTGGTGGAGATGATGATACTTACGCGACGTTATTGTACTGGCAGTAGTCTATATCATCAGGACACACGAGATCTTCCTTCCTCTCTCCATACACGGCGGCCACCAGCCCCTCCATCCCGTACCGCAGGTAGGAGCACGACCTCGCCAGCTTCCAGATGATGGGCGGCGGCAGGTCACCGTCGCCCAATCCATACACTGCCAGCAACATTAGGGGCACGCTCAGCGCAGGGCCCAAGAATACCGAATTCTGACAACAAATATATATGTATATACTACCTATTAGCTATACTACTAGCTACTCGCCCCGACTACGCCCGAGTATACATGTATTATGCATGTAAACCCTCCTCTTGAATTTATCTATCTGTTAAAAAAACCGCTTCCAAATCCGTTGCGTAGTTTTAAAGATTTAAGCATACATAGAGACGGACAGACAGCGGCACCTATTTATTTGAACCTATCAGTGGAACGAATAAATTAAGACTAACAAAATAATTTTTAGTTCTTTAGGCTACTTTTATTTTATAAAATTAAAGCTAAATTCGACGCGGACGAAGTCGCGGGAAAAGCTAGTTTACTTATAATAACATTTATTTAGTCCTTTTCTGTCAGAAAAAACATTAAAAAAAATTGGTATAACTCACAACAACACTCAGAGTAGATGATATGACCGTTCCCATAGATTCGGATATCAGAGCAACTGTGACGCATATAGTTGCGAACATCAGAACCCTGTGCAGCTCCAGCGGCTGCGACGTGATGGGATACGTGAGCACCAAGTATAGAAGACTGAAGAAGATGGTAGCGGGTGTTCTGGAGACGACCAGCGCCGCGTAGTACGCCTTCAAACCGTACCATCTGTTGAAGTACTCCCTCTTGACTAGCTGCACCTCTTTTGGGACTGAAAAGAAAGAAAGAAAATTGTTTATTTTATTAATACAATTTACAATAAGACACAACATAAGAAATAAATAATAAAATACAATGTAAATTGGGGCTGCCTCAGCTGTTGAGCACATTTTCAGTAAATAAACGTAATATACACTTTTGAATAGTCACATTTTTTTTATTCTTCCGCTCGTTCGGGAATTATTTACATTAATATACGTAGTAGACATATTTGACGGCCTCAGTGGTTAGCGGTTGAGCACGACGCTTTAATTCTGAAGGTAGCGGGTACGATTCTTCGCACAGTACAAGCATGTTCATGAGTATGATTGTTTGTGTCGGTCTGAGTAATATCTATGTTTGTATTTTAAGAAACGGTATGTCTAAGTATTTGTATCAGTTGTCTACAAATAACACAGGCTCTGCTTGGGACTAGATGGCGTTGTGTGAATTGTCCTGGGATATTAATAAAAAAAAAATTAAAAAATAGTTTATTAACAGATACAACAAAAATCTTATCTTTCTATCTAGTAAATACTAATCTTATAAAAGGAAAAGTGCCTTAGCTTGGAACTAGATGGCGTTGTGTGAATGTCCTGGGATTTTAGTAAAGAAAAAAAAAATTGTTTTTATTTACAGATACAAAAAAAAATCTTATCTATCTATCTAGCAAATACTAATCTTATAAAAGGAAAAGTGAGTTATTCTTTGTTTAATTCCAAGAGATTAATTTCGAATCATTCATTAAAATAATAAATCCAAAAAAACTGCAGAATTTCTTCAAAATTTCTTCTTTAATATTTGCATAAACTCATTATATCTTAGTTAGCGGTTTAAATTTAGATAATAGTAGAAATGCAATTAGATATAAATGCGAGCGAGGTCTAATGTAAAAACTAGTAAATATTAAAAAAACTTACATGCTAAGAGCACTGGCATCATGGGTATGTACAGCATCGCTATTATACAAGCGTAGCAGAAGCCAAAATTGAAGATAGTCTTGGAGGCATCGTAGCCCATGTTGCAGAATAGGAGCCCTATTATAGCCCCCAGGAACAAATGCATGCACACCCGTAGCCATAAATAGCCCTGCAATCAAAATAGAATAGAATAGAATAGAAATAATACAATTTACAATAAGACACAACATAAGAAATAAATAATAAAATAGAATATAAACAATTTACAATAAGACACAACATAAGAAATAAAATAGAATGTAAATTAATTTACATTCTATGTTATTATTTATTTCTTATGTTGTGTCTTATTGTAAATTGTATTATTTATTGGGGCTGCCTCAGCTGTTGCGCATATTTTCAGGTACAGCGCTGATTTTCAGGCTGCCCGCATTTCTCTTTAAAAAAAAACTAAGATGCGGGTTTTTTAACTATATACAGATACATATATATAGCTATATGTGTAATTTTCCTGCAATTATTGTCATTTTTCGCGGCACTACACCTTCAACATACCACAACACACCTACACTATAAATGTATATATACGTCCCTATAAAGTCTTAATGTTGGGGATATGAAAAAATCCTGCCCTCTGGCGGACGCGGCGCGCAACACTAGTGACAGATTCGATCGCGGGAACGAACAGCGGTTACGGCGGTCATATTAAAAACTTGGTGCAAATTGGCGGATTTTTGGTGTATTTGGGGTGAGTATAGGGACAATTTTATATATTATTTATTATTTCGTGTACACAAAAGTGATTAGATAATAGGCATCGGCAGAGGTATATTTGTAAACGACCTGAACCAGCGACTTTAACGCGGGGTGAAGAAAAGGTGACGAAATTATTACCACCGAATACCACTAATATATATAAAATTAACACTATATACATATATACTAGCTGGCACAACTTCGTCTGCGTTTCATTACCACCTTTTGCAATATTTTTCATTGCAGCTCCGCCCCTATTGTTGGTAGCCTCCTATACCCGTTGTAAGCACAGATTATTATATTAGAAATAGAAATAATCTTTATTTCAATAAACGTAATATACACTTTTGAATAGTCACATTTTTTTTATTCTACCGCTCATTCGGAATGCAGACTCATCACAAGAAGAATGAGCAAGAAACTTGTGTGTTGCACTTTTAAACAAATATTGTTTTAATTAGATTTACATTAACAAGGATTAGGCATGCGACAATCAACATAGAAACCGCTACGCACATTCTCCGTTCAATCACATAACATTGTCAGCGCTATGAATTGTAAGTTAGATATTTTCTACAAAAACATTATTATCATTTATAAATTCTTCAAGGTTTTTTACAAAGACATATAATATAAGACATTTGAATCTTTTTTCTGGCAAATTGAGTCCTTTAGTTTTTGTTCCCCCACTTTCGTCCCCAACCTAATAATACCTAACTTAATTATAATAATTTGTCCTTTAATATATTGTTTATAGCTTTTTCTTTACTGTGTGTTACAAATAAAGTATATTCTAGCTATTTTCCCTAATAATTATTATTCAATAAGATAATAACCTTATTTCTAACAGTCTGTAACAACATCCGCCGCAGCAGTATGTGGAACTGCTGGCACGCGGTGCTGCCGTGCTTGAAGTTGTGTTTCTCCACGCCGCCAGAGTTCAGCTGCTCCAGCTCCATATCCTGGGAGTGGTCTGCCTCCTCTTCTGTCTGCCGCCACTTCTGACACCGGCCGTTGTCTATTGCCGTCACCATTCTGTCGGTGTGGGGACCATATTCTCCGCTAGATACTTCTATAACTGAAATTGGAAGTTATTGGTCAAGTTACAGCAAAGGTTGGTGTTTAGAGAAGGTCAGCCGAGCAAGAATTTCGTTGATAACGGAATGGTGCACCCGCCTGCGCTAGCGGTCGTAGTAAGCATGAGGTCAAGTCAGTTAGTACACTTACTTCGGACGGTCGCGAGTTCGATTCCTCGTACAGTACAAACATTTGTGTTCATGAGTATTGGCCTGGGTGTTTTCTATGTATGTTTGTATTTACAAAAAAAAGCATCTAAGATTGTTTTTTTTTGTTAGCTTGGAACTCGATCACGCTGTAAGAATTATTCTGTTTTCTTATTATTACTTGTAATTGCTGATTAAAAATTTCAATTAGAGAATAGAACATTCTGGTTTTTACTGTATTCATCCTAAACTAAGCTTTATTCTATATTGTTATAACTATGTATGGAGATTGATAAGAGTGAGTAGCTGTCTGTCCGTCCCTATGCATGCTTTAAAACTACGCAACGGTTTTTTTTAATAGATAGAGTGATTCAAGATGAAGATGTACACCCGGGTGAAGCCGGGGAGAGTAGCTAGTATCATATAAAAGAGTCTGCAAAAGACCTGCATGAATGAAGATACTTTAATTTCGATTATTATTAAGAACAGCTTTGTAGGATATTGTAAACATTAGGTACCAGAGTACCTAGTTCCCACACTTCAAAAAGTTACAACAGTACTAGAGCATACTCACCGAAGTCTGCCGGATTGTGCGTGGTAGGACAGGGCACTTGGAGCTGCCGCAGGAAGGGCACTAAGGCGGCAGCGGAGCCCTGGTAGGCGCAGCGGCCGCCTGCTACCACGTACACCAGGTCGAACTGTGCGAACAGCCGCGCAGACGGCGTGTGCACCGAGCACACCACCGTCCTCCCACCGCGGGCCACCCGCTTCAGCAACGACACGCACGTAGAAGACGACACGTCGTCCAGACCACTGTCACACACATTCACGTTACAGTGTTGCCAGACGTCCCGTATTTAATAATAATAATAATAATACACCGGCCGACCGTACTTCTGTCGGGGGGGTTGCCATCTCCTCTCCTTAAGAGGGGAGATGAGAACTTTCGTAAAATAATAATAATCTCAGGACAATTCACACAGCGCCATCTAGACTCAAGTTAAGCTTGCTAAAGCTTGTGTTATGGGTACTAGATAGCTGATACATATACATAGATATTTTGTAAATACTAAACATCCAGACCGATACAAACAATCATACTCATGAATACAAATGTTTGTGCCGTGCGAGGAATCGAATCCGCGACACAGCCGGGGGTAAGTCGGTCTTAAGGAAAGGCTCCTTAAGAGGGGAGATGTGCTCAGACCACAGCCGGGGGTAGCCCCTCTTACCGAGGTCGTTTCCCACACAGCGCCATCTAGACTCAAGTTAAGCTAGCTAAAGCTTGTGTTATGGGTACTAGATAGACGTACATAGATATTTTGTAAATACTCGTATTTTTGAATACAAATGTTTGTGCTTAGAATAGAATAGAATAGAATAGAAAATCATTTAGAATAGAACAGAAAATCATTTATTCAAATAAACTTACACTGAAGCAATTTTGAATAGTCATTACATTTTTTTAATCTACCGCTCGTTCGGAAAGCTGTCTCATCACAAGAAGAACGAAAAAGAAACTTGCGTGTTGCTCTTTTAAAATTTAAAATGTCCCGGCGGGACTGAGTCTGTCCCGTATTCGAACCGTACTCCGTTTTTTATTATTAAATTAATCGATTAACCCTAGACTAAAATACTCACGTACGCAACTTTCAAACGTTTGAAAGTTGCGTAATTTAATAAAAAGCGATGACTGTTTTTCATTACGATTACAATCGTATTAATTTTTGTAAGTATGTTATCATTACATAGTATAAAACAAAGTCGCTGTCGCTGTCTGTCCGTCCCTATGTATGCTTAAATCTTTAAAACTACGCAACGGATTATGAAACTGCTTTTTTAATAGATAGAGTGATTCAAGAGGAAGCTATATATGTATATATAATATATGTACACCCGTGCGAAGCCGGGGCGAGTAGCTAGTAACCAATAAAAATATGTTACAGCTGACTTGCTCCTCAAATATATATATAAAAAAAATAATATCACTATATAATTTTCTTTTATTTGTCCCGGGTAAAAAAATAATTTGCCTATTTATGCATTTACATTATTTAAATTATTAACCGGGTCTTAACACGAATAATTTTAAGTCAAATAAAGGTATTTACCTCTCTCGACGTTTCGACTATTCTAACGTGTTAAATTATTTATCGCTTTTTAGCGATAAGGCCGCCCATTGTTACTTTGTCTTGTTTATTTAATTATATATTTTTTTTCATTTTATACATAATTGTATATGTAATTGTTTTTTCTGTGAGAGGAACAATAAAGAGTTTCATTCATTCATTCATTCATTATTTCAACGTGTTAAGACCCGGTTAATAATTTAAATAATGTATATTAAACACGAAAGTTTAAAATTAACTTATGCATTTGCCCCTGGTAACTAGGAACATGGACCTGGTGACCCGTGATACAGGTTCTTCGGATACCTAGTACAGGCACCAGTTCTCCACAAATCTGTATTTTTGCATAGAATTTTACATGCCTCAAAGGCTCTGCAGCACTCTATATTATGTATGATTCTGTGAAGAAAAATAAATATATTATATTATAATAGAATCACATTTATAATACATAAATTAATTTCATCAAACAATGACGAGTTCGCTACCTACGAGCGACAAATATTTATTTTTATATGTAACTAGCTGTCCCGACAAACGTTTTTTGCCTTAAAATAAAAAAAAATTAGGGTTGGACTACCCCTAACATTTAGGGGGATGAAAAATAGATGTTGGCCGATTCTCAGACCTACTCAATACGCTCACAAAATTTCATGAGAATTTCGGAGGAGTATGGGAACGAAAACTGTGACATGAGAATTTTATATATAAAATATAACTAATTAATATTTGTAGGACTTAGTTTAAATAAATTATGTTTATAAAGAAAATACATTTACATATGATTGGTACCACAAAACCTTGCTACAATTTATTTCTATATTTGGTACAATAATATAAACTCGGTTTAGTTTATAACTCTGAGTTATACAAGGTTATTTATTTATATATTCCAAGTTTAAAGCATGGACGTTCCGTGCACTTTGAATTAATTTATCTAAATATATAAATAAAATTGGAGTGTCTGTTTGTAATATTGCAATAACCGTTTTTACTACATGCATATGAATATAAATGCGGTACATACACGAAAATAATATTTTTTACAATTTTTGTCTGTCGGTCTGTTTGTTCCGGCTAATCTATGAAATGACTGGACCGATTTTGAAGGGACTTTTTTGGCAGGTAGCTGATGTCATAAGGAGTAACTTAGGCTACTTTTATTTTAGACAAATAAAGTTAAATTCCACTCGGACGTAGTCGCGGGAACAGCTCGTTATTAATACGAGTATTGCTAAATTTCAACGCGGAATCTTGCCTTGTATTTGTTTTAATGTTTTGAATGAATGAAATGATAAATTTGAATGAGATAAATCATTTATTCATTTAACTCAGACGTGCCTACTCCTTCAAACCTTTGTACCTAGACTGTTTCATTATAACCAATATTAGGCACATTCGATTTAACAAATTTCATATTTAGGTAGTCACAATCCCAACAATGATTAGACTATTTGCTTTTGCAATAGCATATGCTGGTAGTCACTCTATTCTACCAAATTTGAATTTAAATTAAATCTATATTATTGTAAATATGTACAACATTTATTTGAAAAGAATACGAGCTGAGTTTCTTGTCAGTTCTTCTCATCTCGATATTATTCCGAACTGACGGTAGATTTGACATATCATAAGAGTCTGTAATAGACCTACATGAATAAAGATATTTTGAATTTGAATTTAAATGAATGTTGGTTATTTCATAATTTTAATCAAATTCAGTCTCCATTTATATTTCATTGCTATTGAATATTTTAATAATTATTTACCTACAGATAAAATTATTATTATTGTAAATGAAAGTCATTGATATACCTTATTTGAATTTGTCGTCAAAATAACGTACGTCATTTGTTAAGGAAATTTCTAGATGTAACAGACTTGTTCTATAATAATAATTTGATATTACACACATATTATTTTCCACTAGCTGCTCCCGCGACTTCGTCCCTGTGGAATTTAACTTTTTTTTCTAAAATAAAAGTAGCCTAAGTTAGTCCTTATTACATCAGCTACTTGCCAAAAAAAGTCCCGTCAAAATCGGTCGGAAAAAATATTTAATTATTACAAAATGGCGCTAAAATACGGACAATTGGAGTGCCTGGCAATAGTTGTTCATGCACTGGATTTTCATTTAATGTTAGACATACACACTTGTATAAATATAAATTGTAAATAAACTGGCTTTAAAAGAAAAAAGTAATTCAATTGAGTTTCTTGCCAGTTCCTCTCAATTGGATCTATATACCGAACTGGACGGTAGGGAAAAAATTTAAATTGTAATGTAAAAATTTTACTTGAAAAATTTGTTATTCATAAGCGGCTTAAACGTCCTACATTAATTTTTTAATTTTGATTTTAATTTAATTAAAATTTTTAATTTTAATTTTAATTTGTATTTGACAAAAAAACGCGGGAATGCCCGAGATGGCGGCGCGCGCGTTCTTTCTCGTTCTTGGTTTATATTTCACTCTTTTCTGTGTGAAAGGCGATTTCCACGTAAAAGAGCGTACGCGTAAAGGCAGCTATTGTCACACTACGTCACACTTTGTGGACCTCATCAACATGCTACATAATGTATATATGGACCCCAATACAGCAGGGATACTACCAGCTGCGGATTTTCACAACCGTACCACCCGCTAGAAACTAAAATACCATCCTGATCATCTGGATGAAAGGCGGTCCTCCACAGTGTAGCTTTCTAGAACCTTTTTGCCATGCACAACCACATTGTGGAATCACCTTCTGCAATGGTATTTCCGATAAGATATTGAAACCTTTAAGAAAAGAACTTATTCCTTTTTAAAAGGCTGACAATGCACTGGATATTCCCCTACTGTTGCGGGTGCTCATTGCCGCAATGATTTACCATCAGGTGAGTCTCATGCTCGTTTGTCCCCTGTGTTATAAAAAAAGGAGAACTTACGTAGTAGGTTCGTCGAGGAATATAACTGGAGGATTGTTGAGCAGCTCGAGGGCGATGGACAGCCTCTTCTTCTCACCACCAGAGAGCCGCTCCGTCGGCGTGTTCTTCGCTTTACCCAACCTCAACAGTTGTACAATCTCGTCCACCTTAAAATAACATTTAAACAAACAGTGAGACGATACTACAGTTAAAAAACAAACAGTAGACGAACTTAACTTAACAGGGTAACCCTGTCAAGTTAAGTTCACTAAGAAAGTGAATTTAGAATGCTCCTGACTAGACGAGGAAAAATGTTAGGACACTTGATACGGCACGATGATTTCATGAAAATTATTATTGAGGGGAAAATAGAAGGAAAGAGGGGGAGGGGAAGACCAAGGAATAGCTACATCAAACAAACTGAGGACAAAATGGGAGTCGTGTCGCATCAAGAATTAAAGAGCAAGATGGAAGATCGTGGAAAGTGGCAAGAGCTTCACCGACAAGAGCGTAGCTCTTAAATTATGAATGAATGAATGAATGAATATTTTATATTATTGGTATGCTAGGGTTGACAAGCCAAAGTTTAAAAAACCAGGATAGAAAGTTCAAAAAACCATTACTATCCAGTTTAAAAACAGAACGCAGTAATAGTGTTGCAATAGTTATATTAATATGTAGTAATATTCAAGTAACTAATATTAAGTTTTTAATAAAAAGTATTTGATAAAATTATACTGTTGACAATCAGTAATTAAGAGGCGCGCGTATTTTAAAAACCCAGGACAAATAACTATTCAGGACTTCACAGGACACTTTGAAAACTAGGACATGTCCTGGGAAAATAGGACGGTTGGCAACTTTAAGGCTATATGTACGTTCTAATTGTAATCCAATATTTAGTCAATTATATGAATATGCATATGCTATATTTTTTTTTTTTATAATAATTTATTTCTCCTCACAAACATGATGGCAACAATACATGTAGTATTTTTTATGGTAAAATACTTAAATTTATTATTTTAATCGATTTGCTGTGAGGAGCTGGTGTCTGAGATAGGCATAACCTGTAATACAGATCACCAGGCCCCCAACCGAAAATATATAAGTTAAACAAATTATGATGCTTATACTACACTAAATAAATTATAATTATACAAAATATGCCGTGATACATTGAAAAATATAACAATAAATTAAGAAGAGGGTACAGACACCAATCTTATTAGTAAAGCAATCTCTTTTAAATAACCTTATCAAAGAGAGTATTGCTAAAAACAAAGTGTCATGTCAAATGAAATAAAACCATACACTTTGTTTTCCAAACAACAGGCAGTTAGTCAGAAGGTCGAGCTAGCTAAATGTGATATGTTATGATAATCGAGTTTAAATTGCAAGAATTATGCCACGGCATATGACAATTATAAGGTTACGTGGGTTATATTTGGATATGTAATCATACTAATTTACAATACGGCGCCACAATAACAAAACTTTGTTATTTACTCTATGATGTACCTACATATTACTGAAAAATATTGAACCTAGTAATTTTTCAAATAATCTTATGAATATTACAAATGTTTGTGAGCATGGATGGATGGAACGCTTGTTACTACTGAATGGATTTTAATGAAAGTTTATAATAAAATAGCTAATACATCAGAATAACACATAGGCAATAAATTTGGCTATAGAATAATGTGCTTTACAAACGGAAAGTTTTCTGTCCAGTAGCTACGTTCAAAGCAACTACGCAAAACAATTTTTTTTTATTTATTTATTTTTCCACACTTACATCTATTTTTACAGGTCTTAGCCTAATACAATAGTGCAGCAAACATTATTTTTTAAATTAATTGTAACTTATAATAAATAAAGCGATCTTCGTGAACTCATTCAGAGAACAAGAGAATAGATCTATTTGCTCCGTTATATGATTTAATGTACGCAGTGCTCTTGTGACCGGTGCTTTGCCTAGTGTGTGGCCCCGCGCGGCACAGCCAGCAGTTGTGGTCGAAATTTGTTCAAAGTGTCCAAATAAACACCAAATAACTGTTGCCTGGAGTAAATGGATTGTTAATAATTTGGAGTAACAACCCCAATGCTAGCAATGTACAATATCTGGTTGACCTCCACAGGGATCTCCCAAAAAACCATCGTGATAAATTCCTGGTAATTTGCCACGTTATGCTAATGCTTCGTGCTCATCCTAGCATGCTCTACTGGTGCAACTCCAGCGTAAACTGTTAGCTTAGGATTAGGAGGGACATTATTTTATGGAAGATAGATAGATAGATATATCGTTTATTTGTTTGTTACTAATCACACACAACATGTTAATAAGAATAGTACGACATAAGATATATAAAATTGTGTTATTATGTGTGATCTGTAGCAATACAAAAAGATCGAAGCTCAGCGTGGAACATTGTTCAGGGAACAAAACACTGATTTTCAGCTTTAACCCATTTGAGGGTACGTGAAAATAATAATTGAAATAAATATAAAATAAAAAGAGCAATATTATTGGTCTGTGCGGTGTGTGTATAATAAAAATAATGTAAATAGTTCAGAGTATAATTTGATATAATTTGAACTGAGTGGTAAGGATTAAACGAAAACAAAGAAAATATTAATAAGAGTAACATAGAAAAAAATTTATTAAAAATCTTTACGTGAGATTGCAACCGCTAGCCAAGAAATTTGATAATGGAAGGTGCACCCGCCTGTAGTAACGATTTACGCTGGCGAGCCACCAGTGAAGAATGATAAGATGACTATGAGGTCAAGTCAGGTAGCCCATCGTGACAAATTCAACAAGAGTTTATCACGATGGTTTCCAGAGAGAACCACGTAGACATGGTACATTGCTAGCAATAAGATTATCAGTCCATATTACTAACTATTCACTTCCCCCCCTAAGAATACATTAGTTTATTATCATCTATTACAAAAATGGTCACGTACCACGACAACTTTTTTTTGTTCAGTAATAGCACTACCAAGCTTCAGGTCTGCGGCGATGGACATCGCCTCCAGCACGGTGATGTAGGGCTGCAGCAAGTCCTCCTGCATTATGTACCGGGACAGTTTCCTGAACTGACGAAGATTCCGAGGTTCACCATTGGTATATATATGGCCGCTGGCTCCGTTCACTCTGAAATTATAATTGCATATGTTAAGTTCAGTAAAAATTACAGATAAAAAAAACATGCTCCCTTCTCTAACCTTTTGCTGACTGGTGTCAACTCGAGTAACTCACTCGAGTTGTGCTGAATTCCAGTAAACTCGAATTGAATGCTCCTAGTAATAACTCGAGTTGGAACGAATCAATGCCGGGTCTTAAGAGGAAATCCCTTGTTTGGGACATTTTCGAATCGCCAGTGAGTGGACGTCTAAAATGTTAAGAGTTTAAGGGTCGGCAACGCGCATGTGACACCCCTGGTGTTTCAGGCGTCCATAGGCTACGGTAACCGTTTACCATCAGATGGGCCGTATGCTTGTTTGCCACCTAAGTGGTATAAATAAAAGAAATGCTCGGATTCATTTTAAATATGTAAGAAATAATAATATGGTTCGGTATAGCTGTCAAGGCCAGCCACAGCCAACAATATTGCAATAGTCTAACTATTGCAATATTGTTGGCTGTAGCTGGCTGTAAAATAAAAAAAAACAGTATTTCCTTCCTAACTCGAATTGAACCTGAATTTCAGCTCAACTCGACTTGCATATTAAAATATTTTATACATTGTGCTTAGCTAATATTTATACTCTGGTTCTTCTGTCTTTCTGTTCGACGGCGACGGTAGTCCAGCTACTTTGCGATAGTCTCACGTTAGAATGAAATAGAATAGAAAATCCTTTATTAAAATAAACCAAATTTAAGCACTTTTGAATAATCATAACATTTTTTTTAATCTACCGCTCATTTGGAAAGCTGTCTCATCACAAGAAGAACGAGCAAGAAACTTGTGTGTTGCTCTTTTAAATAATCATTGTAAGTTTACATTTACAAGTCGAAACGTATGAATACAAACTACCAACAAGCACTAATTTATTAGGGTCAAATATAAATACACAATAAGATTAATCGTAGTGATAAGAGCACACCAGTCCCTACAAGCAGCACTCATTCACGAATATGACGGATGAGCCACCCATCACTGCGCTCGACCATATTTTAGGGAGCCCAATGACCCGGCCCACCACGCCGCCACATGTCTGGACATTTTAGTGAGCATGACTACTCATTCCACTCGACCACGTCACAGTACTAAAAATTACTATATGGTAGATTCGATTCCCTGCACGGTACAGATATTTGTATTCATGAATATGATTGTTTGCATCGGTCGGTCTGTGTGTAGCCTATGTATATATTATATTAATTTTCTAGTACTCATAACACAAGCTTTGCTAACTAGGGACTAGTTGACGGTGTGTGAATTGTCCTGAGACATGATTATTATTAAGTGTGTATAGAATGTCTGTTTGTCTAGTCCCTATAGTACAGTTTTAACACTACATGACACAAATTTAGGTATTAAATTTAAATTCAAATTCAAATTCAAAAATCATTTATTCATGTAGGACATTTTAGCCGCTTATGAACGTCAAATATTTCATATTATAATTTTTTCCCTACCGTCCAGTTCAGTATATAGGTCCAATTGTGAAGAACTGGCAAGAAACTCAATTGAATTACCTTTTTTTTATTTACAATATATATTTATATAGGTGTCTATGTCTAACACTAAATGAAAATCCCGTGCATAAACAACTATTGCCATGCACGCTCGTCATTCAAGTAATCGTTTAGTGAGTAGGCTTTGCTCAGTAAATATGATTTACCAGTTGTTTTGAATTTATTTAAGGGTAATTTCAGTTAAATAATAATAGTATTATATTCCATTAAGTAATAATAGTCGTGTCAGAATGTAATTAATTACAATGTAAGGTCCGTCACTCATTGTCTCGTTTCCTGGTAGCGACTGCGCAAATAATATCTTTATGCCTTCACAATACGTTTAATTTGAGTTTAAATAACTTAATGCACTTACGGTTTAATGATACCTAGTGTTAGTTAAATAATCCTGAAGCAGTTTATTACATCGCACAAAGATCTCATGGTGGCAATTTTATTACATTATCTCTACAATGATACCACTTTGTGACAGGTAATTATTGACTAACATAATAATTACAGAATACGCAGTTTTGCCCGCGACTTCGTCCATCATTTGTGACAAAAACTGTTTATGTGACAAAACATGTTTATGTAACAAAACATGTTTATGTGACAAAAATTACGACTGGTTAGTCCGTTAAGTTTCAAGAGGTTTTTTTTGTGAATGAATATGCAATTGGAAGTGGGAAGAGGATTGGTAGTAATGTGGACTCTTGACTCCATTACTAGCAATGTACCATATCAGGTTGACCTCCACGCGGTTCTCCCTGGAAACCATCATGATAAATTCCTGGTGAATTTGTCACGATGGGCTAACTGACCTGACCTCATGTTCATCTTATCCTCCACTGGTGCCCGCCAGCGTAAACCGTTAGCGCAGGCGGGTGCACCATTCTATTATCATATATAAAAAAATGCAATTCGAGTACAGTTACCATTTACCATCGGATGTACCGTATATATAGGAATATTTATTTGTACTTTTGTACGTTTAGTATAATAATACAGGTTATTTAAACCAATGTTATACAATAAGGGTAAAACGGCATGTGTGTACTACAGCATTACAAAATCATACTCCATGTACATAACTCAGTATGATTTTCTAGGCTATTCTATGGAGAATCATTCAAGGAGTACCGTATACTTAATTATCACGGTTTTGCTATAAAAAATGTTAATTAATAATAATAATATCTCACACTCACTCTCTCAATTCACACAGCGCCATCTAGACCCAAACTAATATAACTTAATAAATAATAAAAATAAAAAATAAAATAATAAATACAAAAAAATAGTATCTATGTATCCAAACAAAACAAATCAAAATATCTTTATTCATTTAGGTCATTAATATAAATGTTTGTGCCGTGCGAGGAATCGAACCCGCGACCATCGGTCGTAAAGCGGTGTGCTAGACCGCTGTACCATCGAGGTCGTCAATTATTATGTAAACGCTATTTATATATTTCTTTTTAAAATAAATATAGAGCAATTAAATCTTAATCAACAATCTAATGCAACAAGCAATGTAGAATATCAATTAGCACCATGTCAACCAATTATGCGTACATACCAGTTTACCTTAACCTCTAGAGGTTACGCCTGCAAACCCATTCTATAACAACCATATTTTATCGTAGCATCGAATTTGCTACGTTTTTTTTATAACACAGACAAACGAGCATACGGCTAACCTGATGGTAAGGGGGGGAATGGGATTGTTAGTAATGTGGACTAATGAACCCATTGCTAGCAATGTACCATGTCAGATCGACCTCCACGCGGTTCCCCCTGGAAACCATCGTGATACATTCCCGGTGAATTTGTCACGTTGGGCTAACTGATCTGACTTCATGTTCGTCTTATCATCCTCCACTGGTGCCCCGCCAGCGTAAACCGTTAGCGCAGGCGAGTGCTCCATTCCATTATCATCCTTTAAAAAAAAAAACCTGATGGTAAGCATCTCGTCAAGGAGTGTCCGAGGTTTGGTCCCACGAGGCTCGACCATGAGATGGCCTGTAGCATGGTTCGGGTCTCAGAACCATTCCATCTCCCATCCATCATCAAACATCAATCAACCATCGACACTTTCACATCACACATATCATACATCATTCACAACCTCAAACATTTTAATCAAACATAATCATCATCACCAACATTCCCATACCTCTATCATCAACATTCTCATACCATCATCATATCCATACCATCGTCATCCAAACCACCAACGTCTTTATTTTGCTTTTCGTTTTGTTATTTTGTTTAATCTTTTGTTATTTGTTTTGTTTTATCTCTATTGTTGTTTTGTTTTGTTCTTTTATTTCTGTTTTATATTGTTTTGATTGTCTTCGTATTTTTTTTTTATTTTTGTTGTTTTTGTTTCTTCGGTAATTTTGTCTTATGTTTTGTTATATAAATAATTGTATATATTTCTAAAAATGTATATATTTCAATAATTATATTCTAATGACACCTACTAAAATCAAAACTTGCTAAATCATAATAAACTCTGCTGAAGCAGAAAGCATTGAGTACAACAAAGATATTGTATATTTAAAAAAAAAAACCTGATGGTAAGGGAGGAAGGGGATTGTTAGTAATGTGGACTCATGACCCCGTTACTAGCAATGTACCATGTCAGGTTGACCTCCACGCGGTTTCCCCTGGAAACCATCGTGATAAATTTCTGCTAAATTTGTCACGATGGGCTAACTAACCTGACCTCATGTTCATCTTATCATCGTCCACTGGTGCCCCGCCAGCGTAAACCGTTAGCGGAGGCGGGTGCACCATACCATTATCATCCATAAAAAAAAACCTGATGGTAAGTAAGTGATTACCGCCGCCCATGAGCACCCGCAACACCAGGGGAATTGCAAGTGCGATGTCGGCCTTTTAAAAAGGTCCTTTTTTCAATATCGTATCGGTTCGGAAATACCATTGCTGGAAGGTGATTCCACAATGTGGTTGTGCGAGGCAAAAAGTTTCTAGAAAACCGCACTGTGGAAGACCGCCATTCATCCAAATGATCAGGATGGTATTTTAGTTTCTGGCGGGTGGTACGGTGGTGAAACTCAGCAGCTGGTATTAATCCGAACAGTTCCTCAGAACACTCCCCGTGATATATGCGGTAGAAAATGCACAGAGATGCAATATCTCGCCGCAGAGCCAATAGTCGACACGAGGATGAAGTCAATATTATCAGCTATTATTACGTAATTTATCAACGTCTTGGAACCTAAGGTCTGGTCCAACAGAACTCGTAAGAATGTGCATATCTAAACGCGATTCTATACCTAAAAGCAATCTCGTATAAGTAAATAAAAAAATATAGAAGTAGAGACACGGGTAGAGACTGTAAATGCTGACTTACCTGTATCCAGCGAGGATATTCAATAGAGTGCTTTTCCCAGCTCCCGAAGGCCCCAGTATGGCGGTCAGCTGACCAGACTTGAATTCCCCGTTGACTCCGCGCAATATTATTTTGGGGTCTGAAAAAATAAATATTGTATCTCAATACCATGGAAATTGTCCAAAAAATTCTAACCTACTTCTTATCAAATCAAATCAAAAATTAATTTTATGACCTCGATGGTCAAGCGTTCGGTGGTCAACTTTGCTTTGTATAAATTTTGCAGAGACTATTTTGTCAAATTGACAGCCTCGGTGGTCTAGTGGTTTAGCACACCGGTTTACTATCCGATGGTCGCGAGTTCGATTCTTCGCACGGCACAAACGTTTGTATTCATGAGTATGATTGTTTGTATCGGTCTGGGTGTTTTCTATGTATAATATGTATATATTTACGAAAAAAATATCTATGTACTTGTATCAATTATCTAGTACCCGTAACACAAGCTTTAGCTAGCTTAACTTGGGACTAGATGGCGTTGTGTGAATTGTCCTGAGATTATTATTATACAATTCTTTGTTTGTGTGTGCCTTTTAACGTGAATAAAAACTTTATCTATCTATCTATCTATTATTATTATATACTTTTTTATGACGACTTCTTTAATCTACCCGTGATCATGGCGGTTGAAACACTCCCGAAATGTTGGGAACTCAACAGAAATAAATTAAACGTGATATGATCCTGTGATATTTCCTAATTGTATGTACAAAAAAATTAATGTATGTAAGGTACTAAGGTCTTACGGAGATGCATTCTAATCTACCGACAATTTGGAATGTAGATCGTAGCCTAGAAGTACTGCCAAGGAACTCTGCTCTTACTCTATCAGAATGTAGTTTAATGTTCCAGATTATAACATAACTGATGAACATTAAAAATTAATAATAACTGTTTATTACGCACAAAAATATTTACTTAACTGAAGCCGGACAAAGAAATTTGGTCCAAAGTTTTAGATTACAAAAACTATCCTGATTTGACATAGATTGTTTTTTCACAGCTCCACCGAACGATAGGTGAGTGCAAATGGCACTCCAAACCTGCGGAAGGACTTAAGGAGCTCCTGCTGAGGGTACAACTTTAGTCTGAGGACATCACTAGAGGTTTAAACTTCGGCTTGGGCCGTCGTAATTTCAATCTCCGTTTGAATTATAGGGTACACCCATAGGGGTTTTTTCAAACGGAAACGTCAATTCAAACGGAGATTGTATTAAGATAGTGTAGTATAGAGGAATTTTTATTTTAAGTAAAATAGAGTATGGATTGATGCACCCTCCTGCGATAACAGTTTACGCTGGCGGGGCACCAGTGGAGGATGATAAGATGAACATGAGGTCAGGTCAGTTAGCACATCGTGGCAAATTCGCCAGGAATTTATCACGACGGTTTACAGGGAGATCCTCGTGCAGGTCAACCTGACTGTGCAATGCTAGCAATGAGATCATCAGTCCACATTACTTACAAACCCTTCCCCCTGCAGCCCACAAGTGTAATGGAGGGGCCAGTCATCATTATACATATATACATATTCAACCATATTATAAAGAGCATAAGGACTAAGTATTTCCGCATCTCCATTGACCTTATATGTTACTGCTATTATATCCGCATTTCCGAACATCTACATATATGTATATGTATAGGAAGGTAACAACAAGGTATCAGAACTTGTCTCTCTAATGCGTGCTCCCAGCGTCTGCTAACTTTGTTTGGTGACGTGACCCGTCAGGGACCAGATAATTTGGAAAAATGTATAATCCACGTGGACGAAAGAAGGGGCAAAGGCAGGACACCTGCGCAATGGACTGATTCAAATTCAAATTTAAAATATCTTTATTCATGTACGTCTATTTTCAGACTCTTATGATATGACAAATGGTAGATTAGTTTTGAATGATTACGAGAGAAGAACTGACAAGAAACTCAGCTCGTATTCTTTTCAAATAAATGTTGTACATGTTTACAATAATACAGATTCATTGCTAAATTCAAATTTGGGAGAATAGAATGACCACCAGCATATGCTATTTCAAAAGCAAAAAGTTTAATCAGTGTTCGCAACCTGAACAGACCAGTCCCCACAAGCAGCACCCGTTCACGTGTATGACGGATGAGCCAGCCATTATTGCACTCAACCATATTGACCTGGCCCACCACGCCGCCACAAGTTTGAACTGTATAGCGAGCATGACTGTTTCAAGTTACTCCACTACGTCATTTATATTATTTACAGCATAGGCTGTAACAATCACAGTTTTCATCCATTACAATATATCAAGCGAAATATGCAGTCGGATATCCTCTCGACACTAGCTAGGGATGCCTGGAGAATATTGGTTGAAACATTCCTGGTGGTCATGGCCCTCAGCTTTGAGGAATCGACAAAGATGATGTAGAAAGGTCACAGCATTTCAACATCTGCGAGTAAATCTTTCGACAGAAACATTATTGTGTTGAGAAATATTTGTTACAAAGTAACTACCTATATATAATATTTCGTATCAATCACAGTGTCGACATATTTGAGTACCCGCACGCCTAATAAAGTTTCGTGGTTTTATGATCCCTCGGTTGCGGTAAAGCCTGCCATCGACCACTCTTTCGAACGGATGTTATCTGGATGAATAATCATAGAGTATACAGTTCCGATTTAGACGATTCTTTTTCAAATACAAATTCAAAAATCATCTATATATGTATAACTCAAAGGTGACTGACAATGATCTATCAACTCACAGCGCAAACCACTGGACGGATCGGGCTGAAATTTGGCATGCAGGTAGATGTTATGACGTAGGCATCCGCTAAGGAAGGATTTTGATTAATTCTACCTCCAAGGGGATAAAATAGGGGATGAAAGTTTGTATGAAACTTTGTCAATTTTAAACCGATCGGGCTGAGACTTTGCATGCATAAAGCTACTATGACGTAGGCATCCCCTAAGAAAGGATTTTCATAAATTCCACCCCCAAGGGGATAAATTAACACGAGCGAAGCCGCGGGGAAAAGGTAGTTTATTCATATAGGATATTTTAGCCGTTTATGAACGTATATTTTTTTATATTATATTTCTTTCCCCACCGTCCAGTTCAATAGATCCAATTGAGAATAAAATTTTCTTTGTTAACAATAAAATATATTGTTTGACGGCCTCGATGGTCTAGCGGTTAAGCACACAGCTTTAGGCGCGGGTTGAGTTCCTTGCACGGTGCAAAGATTTTGTATTCATGAGTACGACTGTTTGTATCGGTTTAGGTGTTTTTATTATTAGAAAATAGTATTTACAAAAAAAAAATGGTATCTAAGTATTTATGTGAATTTAACTTTATTTTTCTAAAATAAAAGTAGCCTAAGTTACTCCTTCTTACAACAGCTACCTGCCATAAAAGTCCCGTCAAAATCAGTCCAGCCATTTCAGAGATTAGCCGGAATCAATCAAACCGACAGATAAGACGGACAAATTGTAAAAAATGTTATTCTGGTGTATGTACCGAATTTATATTCATATGCATGTAGTAAAAAACGGTTTTTTCAATATTACAAACAGACACTCCAATTTTATTTATATGTATATACCTCTGAAGGAGTGAACATCATTACACCGAACGAGAGTTCCTCCAGGATCGATATCCCTCCTTGAAATTTGGAAATAAATTTATACTCTTAAATATAAAACTCAGAGGTTCATATTGTCAAAAGTCATCTGACCTCAGTCTCACTATTTCAGCGCCAAGCAGCTTGCTATGTAAGCTATGTTTCAGTAGTACGTTGCAAATTGGACAGTATATGATAAGAGGCACCAGCTTAGTCCGTGGAGTCCTAAGAGCAAAGAGCAACACGCAACTTTCTTGCTCTTTCTTCTTGTCATGAGACTGCTTTCCGAACGAACGGTAGATTAAAAAAAATGTAATAACTATTCAAAAGTGCTTCAATCTTACATTGAAAAGAGGGCCATTCGCTCCATTTATAGCATGGGTTCCAGGGAGTCTTTGCGAGAGTGCTTTAAGGAATCAAATATCCTCACTGTTGCTTCTCAATATATTTATGAAAATATCATGTATGCCAGGAAGAATACAGACAGTTTCAAAAGAGTTAGTGATTGCACTAATAAAAGCTTACGTAACAATAACAAACTGATTTTACCTAAATGTCGTTTGGCTAAAGTTAGTAATTCGTTTTATGGCAATTGCGTAAGGTTTTACAATAAAATACCAGAGTCTGTTATAAATCTGCCAGAAAAAAGATTTAAATGTCAAATAAAACACTTCCTTTGCAAAAAAGCTTACTATAAAATTGAAGAATTCGTTAACGATAATAATGTTTTTGTAGAAAAATTTTTAAATACATAGCACTGACAATATTATCTGATTACACTAATAATGAGTGCGTAGCGATTTCTATGTTGATTGTCGCATGCCTCTTACTTGTTACACTGTAATTATTTATATAAAAAAAAAAAAACATCTATTAAAAAGAGCAACACACAAGTTTCTTGCTCATTCTTCTTGTGATGAATCTGCATTCCGAATGAGTGGTAGAATCAAAATATGACTATTCAAAAGTGCTTGTAATGAGTTTATTTGAATAAAGATTATTTCTATTTCTATTGAAGCACTTTTGATTTTATTTTTATGAGGAAAATAAACTTGGAGAATACTCGAAGAAATTCTTTAACTATTTGAAAGCTTTTTTCTAGAGTGAATCAATGTTAGAATAGGACAACTTCTGTCAGTTATAATTGTGAATTTTTTATCACAATCTTACATTGAAGCACTTTTGATTTTATTTTTATGAGGAAAATAAACTTGGAGAATACTCGAAGAAATTCTTTAACTATTTGAAAGCTGTTTTTCTAGAGTGAATCAATGTTAGAATAGGACAACTTCTGTCAGTTATAATTGTGAATTTTTTATTACAATCTCACATTGAAGCACTTTTGACTAGTCATCATATTTATTTGAATAAATTATTTATATATAATAAATGATACGTATGAGTTGTATCACGGATGTAACATGATAACGTGATATCTGTAGTGCTGTTCATGTATATAGACATATTACCACCATAAAAGTA